CACCACCATAGACACTAATCTTCATGGGCAGCTCAGGAATCAGACAGATGATTCAATGTTCTTCCTTCTCTATCTGAGCATTGGTGAGAGTGGCTGCTAAAACATTCTTTTTGACTAGCAGAGCCTTCATGTCTTGCAAGCTTCTAGAAATGATGGCAATGCCTGTGGGGATGGCTTGAACTGCTGTGATGACTGCTGCCAAAGACCCCAGGAGTTCAGCCTTCAGCTTTCTAAGAGTAGCAATTGAGCTTGCTTTGCAAGCTAGATGATCTGAAGGCAGGTGCATGAGAATTCATGATGTTTTTCCTTCTCTGAGGTTATTTCTAAGCAGGGGTTTCTGCAGTATGGTTGCTGGTGTTTTTGTTACATTGGTGCTGTCTGCAGCTGTCTTTGCATAGATAGGAGCTCTTGCATCATTTGCACCAGTGGAGCCAGCAGGCTTGATTGTGGTGGACTGCTTAGCTGTTTCTAGACTTCCATTGTACCAGTCCTTGACTAGTGCCTTCACAGCAGCTCCAAGGGCCAGTGCCCTTGATAGGCCTTTTGCCTTCATGACATCTAGGTCTTCTTCAATCTGATCAAGCATATTTGCAGCAGCTAGTGCTTCTGCATGGGATTTCTGTGCCTCAGCCTCGTGGGCGGCTAGGAGATCGCTAGCCATCGGGCCACGTAGGTTGAGACATATTGGTGTGACATTTCTGCTCTTTGAGCTGCCTGCTGGTGTAGGGGAGCTTGGAGGCTCCATGTCATTCAGTTCGCATGTGCGGCGGGTGATTGGGGTGAGGAGATGGGGTCTCTTGGGTGGACGGCGTATGGGGGAGCAGATGCGCGTCAAGGCTCGGGACGCGTTCAGTGTTGTTGGGGGGCTGGGCGCGCTGGCGGCGCTGCGTCAGCACACCATCAGGCTTGCTGCCTGAGGGGATGGGAGAGAGCTTATAGGGATGTGATCAGGATTGATTAAGACGTTTTTGTATAACAGTTGGTTGTGTGGATGAAAGGGGGTGCTGGGGCCTGCGTGGATTATAACCACCCGCATGGTCGCGTGGTCACGTGATGTGGATTAGGCCTAATCGGGCGCCGAGCTTAATCCGACGTCGAGTCTTAACCGGGCACCGGCCTTCGGTCGGGCTCGGTCGGACGCTGAGCCTAACAGCTCTGACTGAAGATGTTTTAAAAGCTTCTAGAATTCTTCTTAAAGCTTTATTCTATAGTTGAAATTGATTTATAAAGCTTTTTTTACTCTTTCCATCAAATCTCTACTGTATAATCTGATACAGAAGTTGTTCCAGCTATATATAATTATCTTATAGCTTGAAAAGATAAACCTCTTTCTGTATTAGAAAGTCTAATAATACTATTCAAAGTTCTCTCAGTCTGAGCAATTCTTTTTTATACATGAACTTTAAAGTTGAGCTTTGAGTCTAACTATACTCCTAGCCATCTCATAGAAGTTTTTAATTTTATACCTTTATTTTAAAGAATAATAATTTTCTCTTATTTATATTTTTTAGAGTAAAAATGAATCAATTTAGTTTTATCCATGTCAAATTAAATAAGATTTTTACTTTCTTTTTCAAATATTTTCTTTGTGTTAGGCTCTGCGCCCTACCGAGCCGACCGAGGCCCGGCGCCCGATTAGACTCGACGTCGGATTAAGCTCGGCCTCCGATAAGGCCTAACCCTCATCACGTGACCACGTGACCATGTAGGTCATTATAACCTGGGCAGGCTTCTTTTATCCCATCAAGCTTAGTATTTTGTTATATAGCAGTTAGCAACGCAGAGAGTTTCCTTCTTATGCAGCTCGCATTCGCACCCTAACAGTATTGTTTCTTTAACTGATATAGCTTTTCTTGTTTTAAAGCTTTTCTTTTCTCTGATTTTAAGCTCTTTTTTCCTCTAAAACTTTCAAAGGTACTAATTGAGCAGAAGTAGTAATAGTAGTAGCAGCTATTTGTGCAAAAGTAGACTTCTTAACTGCACTCTGTGCTACTTTTGATTAATTTTGAGTGAGATGAATGAGAGTTTCCTGCCTAAACTGACTAGTTTGAGACTAAAGTAGAATATATCTAATTGAGTTGATTATATTCACTTTAAACTTGATAATGTTATAAATTTGCTTTGATATAAAAATTAGAAGATTAATAATCTTTTGATTTTCCTCTTCATTTACTTGATTTTTCAAGATAGATGCTGCAAGCTCTAGATTATCAAGTTGTTTTGCTTGATCTATCAATTTGTCTCTTTTATTTCTTTTTTTAATCTCTCATTCAAAGAGTTTTTAATATGTTTCTTTCTGAGTCTCTTTCTGTTTTAGATGTAAAGAGTGTTTTTTCCATTTCTCAACTTTTATTTATAGTTCTTGTATATTTGATTTAACAAGCTTTGATAGAAATCTTTCTGATTTTGCTACTAGTTTAGTAACTAGACTAGATTTTTTAAAAGAATCTAGTAAACTGAGATCAGTTTTTAAGATAAATTAATAAAATCTTTACAAACACTTCTTAGGATACAAAAGAGGTGAGATACTAATAGTTTCAATTCTGATTAAGTCAGAAAAGAAATATTAGTTTTTGATAGAAAAACTAGTTAAAAAAATATAATTTTTTATAAAGAAATTGTTAAAAACTGATTGATTCTATCTATATTAAAGAAATTTTCCTCATGCAACTAGTGTACAGTTCAATTTTTCAAAATAGATGTAGATTCAATATCTAAATTATTCTTTATCAAAGAAAAAGTTGAATTTAAGTAAGATTTTCCTGACTTTTTGAAGAGAAATCAGGAAAAAACTAACATTCTAAAAGACATCTGCAGATCTCACTAAAACACCTTCTCTACTAGAGCTTAATCTGATTCAGTTAAAGCTTCAGTTGATTTTAACTGAGTCTTAACTGAGCTCTATTAAGCTTGCTAAAGAATTTGTTAAAGCTCAACTCTATGAGATGTCTTATAAGTATGCACTTAGTTCTAGCTTGCCCCTATTCTCAGCTATACCTAGCTAGTTCTAACCTTTAGCCTGTAGTCTACGGAGGTTAGGTGCAGGGACCTTAGACTATGTGCTCTTCACTTTCCACAGGTATCTTTTCTACCGTGTCTAGGCAAACTTTGATGAGGGTGGCGTGAGGAGGTACTTGGTGTGGTGAGAAGAAAACCAAAATTGACAGAGTTTTCAAAGAGCTCAGATGTGTCTTTTCTCAAAAATGACTTGATGAATGCTTTTGAAAACTGTCTGGTTTGTTTTGACCCCTAATCAATCTCTTAGTCATTCAATTTTCACACTCTTTAGATCAAGTGTTGTGGGTTGATGATGAAAATTGTTGTTGAGTATTCACTTTTTGAAAAAAGCATGTTTTCAACAATCAACCCTTCAAATCTTGTCTGAATAGTATGGAAATTGAGAGACTGATCAATTTCAGTAAGGGCTTTCAAATGAGAGTATTCTTGAATCAAAATTCCAAAAATTAGCTAAGTTTTGAAAAGGCGTTGTTGATATATCTCAAGATATTAAATTAATCACTTATAATCTACTAATCTTTGCACTTAGTCTGTTCATGATTATAGTGTCTGGAATAGCAGCTTCGGAGCTCTGAACAGCATGTCACTAGATTTGACACTCAGTTCTTGCCAATACAAAGAGGGGAAGTGATGGAGATGATTGAATTCTATATAGTAAGAAGATAATTAGCTGTATTTTTAATCAATGCTGATTATGAGAGGAATTCTTATTTATTCTAATTCAGCATTTATTCAACTAGTTTTTCTTCTTTAGCAGAAGATGATTTGTATGAATTTGCATATAAATTTATCCTTGATTGCCAGTTATTTAGTTAATAGATTAAAAAAAATAAAAGATATTAAATAAGTAAATAACTTTACAAATTGAAGTAATTTCTTAATTTTTAAAAGCTTTTATTATAAATTCAAGTCTTTTCTCTTTTTCTAGTGAATCTAAAGCATGTTTATTGCAAATTGATGATATAATTACATGATAAATTGGAAAAGTAGTTAAATTAGAAGATATTTTGAATTGATATTACACTTATTTAAATGTTATACTTACTTGAAAGATATATTAACTAACTAGCAACTGATATTGATTATATTCTTAATCTTAAATTTTTTTAATGAAATTTATCAAAAAAGAAGTATTAGTATTATAATCATCATAAAACTAAAAAATATATTCAAAGTATTTATATTAAAAAAAATTAAAAATATTTTTTAACAAAAATATATTAAAAATAAATATTTTCTGAAGTGCAAGTTATAAATTAGAAAGAAAAAAAATAATATAAAAATTAAATAACAATAATTAAAATCTCAAAAAAAGAACATAAATACCAATAGCAAAAGTTATTAGACACTTTTCACTAAATGATGTTGTAGAAGCAGTACCAGTAAACATTGATGTTATTGAACTTGTTGAGTATTTTTTAAATTTTAAAGTGTCTGAATGATTAGGAACTGGAGCTGAATCTGTAGACAAATGCTCAGATGAACATTGTCTCATAGAGCAAAGTTTTGTAGTAGAAATTGCAGACTGATGTGTAACTGATATATTCATTTCAGAATATTGAGATGCTGATGAAAGTGGTAGTGCTGCCGGAGTTGAGGCACAAGAAGAGCATCTGGTGACAATTGCAGTTGATTTTGATTGAGTTGCATTTGACTGACTCGCTGGTGAAGAAGTAATAGCATAAACTGTGCTTGGACAATAAGTTGTTGTATATGAAGTTGTGACTGTAGTGACTCCTGTTGAGCAAGTTGTTGTGTAAGAGGTGGTGATTACTGTGGTTATTGTTGCTGTTGGCAGATCTTTTGAAAATGTAGTAACTCTCATAGTAGATTCTAAGAATAATAGATAAGATTTGTTAGTGACTATTTCTATGAATTTAATACTTATTGAATATGACGCACCACTTAGCTCAGTTTCTGTTGAATATGCTGTGTCTGTTGAATGTGATGTATTTGTTAATAATGTAGTTGATGTAGTTTTAATGAGTGATGCACTGATTGAAGAAGTGTCTGTTGATAAAACAGTTGAAGAAGTTTTGATAGATGATGTGTCTGTTGATATAGTTCTAGTAGTTGATGCACTGATTGAAGTGCTTGTTGAATGTGATGTGCCTGTTGATGAAGCAGTTGATATAGTTTTAGTAGTTGATGTGTCTGTTGATGTAGTTCTAGTAGTTGATGAACTGATAAAAGTGCTTGTTGATTGTGATGTGCCTGTTGATGAAGCAGTTGATATGATAATTGATTCACTTGTTAAAGAAGTGCTTGATGATTGTGATGTGCCTGTTGATGAAGCAGTTGATGTAGTTCTGGTAGTTAATACACTGGTTGAAGAAGTGCTTGTTGATGAAGCAGTTGATGTAGTTCTCATAGTTGATACACCAGTTGAAGAAGTGCTTGTTGGTGAAGCAGTTGATGTAGTTCTCATAGTAGATGCACTGGTTGAAGAAGTGCTTGTTGATTGTGATGTGTCTGTTGATGAAGCAGTTGACATAGTTCTCATAGTTGATACACCAGTTGAAGAAGTGCTTGTTGATTGTGATGTGCCTGTTGATGAAGCAGTTGATGTAGTTCTCATAGTTGATACACCAGTTGAAGAAGTGCTTGTTGATTGTGATGTGCCTGTTGATGAAGCAGTTGACCTAGTTCTCATAGTTGATACATCAGTTGAAGAAGTGCTTGTTGATTGTGATATGCTTGTTGATGAAGCAGTTGATGTAGTTCTCATAGTTGATACACTGGTTGAAGAAGCACTTGTTGATGAAGCAGTTGATGTAGTTCTCATAGTTGATACACTGATTGAAGAAATGCTTGATGATTGTGATGTGCCTGTTGATGAAGCAGTTGATGTAGTTCTCATAGTTGATACACCAGTTGAAGAAGTGCTTGTTGATTGTGATGTGCCTGTTGATGAAGCAGTTGACATAGTTCTCATAGATGATACACCAGTTGAAGAAGTGCTTGTTGATTGTGATGTGCCTGTTGATGAAGCAGTTGATGTAGTTCTGGTAGTTAATACACTGGTTGAAGAAGTGCTTGTTGGTGAAGCAGTTGATGTAGTTCTCATAGTTGATACACTAGTTGAAGAAGTGCTTGTTGATGAAGCAGTTGATGTAGTTCTCATAGTTGATACACTGGTTGAAGAAGTGCTTGTTGGTGAAGCAGTTGATGTAGTTCTCATAGTAGATGCACTGGTTGAAGAAGCACTTGTTGATGAAGCAGTTGATGTAGTTCTCATAGTTGATACACTGGTTGAAGAAGTGCTTGTTGATGAAGCAGTTGATGTAGTTCTCATAGTAGATGCACTGGTTGAGCCAGTTCTACGCGATGTTGTCGACGAAATGGTGGAGCCCGACCCAGTAGTTGACAGAGTGATAGTTGTAGAGCTGGAAGTCGTTGAAGTGCTCGTTGAAGTGCTCGACGTGGTGGTGGTCATGTTTGCTTCCCTCCTGTAAACTAAGAAATTGGCGTCGAACAATGCCAACTTTACGTGATCCATATAGGGAATATTGCGAATTACGTTCCTCAAGGCATAAGTCGCGTCCCACAGCATAGCACCGCCAATTTGGTCCGGGTACTTTACCATGAACTCGTCGAAAAGCTCTCCCACTTCGCGTTCATTGAGGTAATAGCCAGCTTGTGCGGCGTCGGGAGCCCCTGGGAGGCCAAACAACACTTTCGTACCAGGGTTGACGCTATCAGAAATAAGTCGCATCCATTCATCAAGGGTAGAGGTGAACCCAGATTGATCGCCTTCTATCACCCAATTCCTCGCGGAGCATTCATATGTGTTGTAAAATTGGATGGAAATGAAATCAAAATCAGCGTACTTAATAACTGAGTCCAGTTCTCTCTCGGTAACGGGGCATTGGGGGGCGGCAGAAATTAAAAATTCCTTCGCTGGGTATCCTAAGAAATGAAGACGCAACCGATCGACCATGAAAATATACGGAGTATACACTATCCAATTAGTTTTCAACTCACTATTGATAGAGCGATAACATTCTTACCGAAAAATCTGTTGTGCTCGATATCAAAATCAAATCCATCAATAATAACATCACCAAAGGGGCGGGGTTTGTTGGCCCATGCTGGCGTTTTGGGACCAAAAGCACCCCAAAGGAAATCGGCAAATTTCTCTGCTGCTCGCTTGTTTGTAACTGCATAGGACCCCAAACCTCCTCCTAATGAAAGCATGACCCTTACTCCCTCACTCTGGCATACTGGAATGTCTTCTATAAGATTTTGACAACCGCTTAACAGTTCTGTGTCGACACCTTCCTCATTCTTGAACACTTGGGCAGAGCACTGATTCCCAAAATTGGTTCCTGGGTAGCCTCCTTTGCCTTGTTCCGGGAAGACATTGACGAATGCCAAAATAATGACATTCGTAAATCTGTCATTCAAACAGATATCACGTAAGCGCGGTTGGTCGGGTGCTTGACCCTGTGGGAAAGGTCAGCATGAATGAACCGTCATATTCAAGGGATGAAACCCACATAGTAAACAACAAGGTTTGTCCTAGATAAAAGATCCAGAGCAGCTGCAAAATGCAAAAGTGAGAAAACCGCAACTACGGCGGTAAAGAGTCTTTTGAGAACCATTGTCACACCAATGGACTTATCAATAATATGTTATATAGGGGCCTGAAACTATATAAGGGTCGTGAGATATCAGACTCTCTGAAAATGAGCGTGATCGTAAAACAACGGTTGACGAAGGGACGCAAACAAAACGTTTAAGCGTAGAAAGAGTGCGAAAGCGTGAAAAGAAAAGGGAAAAGGACATAACGTCCGGGTCCATGGAGGTTTATAACTTGGGATCGGCAGACGTAAATCAAGGACATCTAGCCTTGGAACACTCAAGGGAACCTCCAGTGGCGTTGGTTGGCCATGGTCGAAAGAGCATAGCGCTCCTTCAATAATAGGGGAAGTTCCGTCAAGGCGACCGCCGACCCGCTACAGCACATCTGGCGGGCCATGGGGTGGGCCATCATATCGCGATGGTTCTGAGAACCCATGCGTGATATTTTGAAAGCCTGGAAATTCCAGAAAAAGGGAATGCTTGGCAAGAATAGCTTTCCTCACTGGCACACAATCTGATTTTCGAAGGCCATTGTGCACGCGACACACTTGTTCATCAGTGCCTGACCCGACAATGAAAGCAGGGATTGTTTAGAGGCACGAAAATGTAGAGTGTTCACTGACATCCAAGCATCAAAAGCTCTGAGAACAATAATATTCTGTTTGGTCAGTACGTACTTCTCTACATGTATGATTCTTTGAGGATATGTTGAAAGGGCATTCCTTGATAGACCAAGTTGGCCTGCGGCTTCAAGCCTTAACGCTCATTATCTCTCCAGGTGGGTCATGAGACAGGGGAAATCTATTTCACCAGTTAGTTACTGCGCCACTTACATGATATAAATCTCTATTCAGCAATGGGCACGGAGAATTACTCCGTACTCGGACGTGGCAAAACGGATATAGATAAGTTAGCTACCTCTTCTCTTTAATGATAATCATTTTACAAATGACTTTTGGTTCACGCCACTGTACACACTATTAACTAATGCTAAATATCAACATAAAAATATACGTCCTATTTATTTAAATAGTTAAAGTAAATAAAATTAAATTAATTAATGATTTAATATTTTAAAAAATAATAAATATATATATGTTAAAAATTATTTTATTAAAGTTATAAAAATAATATTTAATTATTTATAATTATTATATAATTCATATAAATTTATTAAATTATAAATAAATTATTTTAATAAAATATATTAAAAATAATTTTTAATTTTTCTTTTATTATAAAAAAATAATTTATATAAATTAACTATTTTTTTTAATAATTAAATAATTAAAATAACTATTAAAATAATATTAATTATATTTTAATATTTTTTATTAAATTATTATAAGTTTATTTTATATATAAGTTATAGTTAAATAAAAAATATATAAATATTTTAAATATAGTTTTTTATTATATAAATACATTATTAATATTAAATTTTTTATATAATTAATTTATTAATATATTCAATTTATATTTATATATTTATTATAATTATTAATTATATATAAATTTATTATTAATAATAAAACTTATAAATTATAATTTAAATTTTATAAAATTAAAATTAAATTAAGTAAATTAATAAAATAAATTTTTATATAGATAAAACTTAAATAAATTCATTAAATTAACGTTTAAATTTAAATAAAAATCTTATTTTTAACTTTGAAATAATAGATAAAGTTAGAAATGAGAATTAATTTTACAATAAAATTTATAAATTCTCTTATATTAAAACAACAGGCTCAAATATGACTCAAAAACTATGCTTACAAGATTAAACTAAATTATTCAAATTGCTTAAAATATTTAAAATACATAACTTCTTAAGAAAGTATGCTCAAAGATGTTAAATTAATTTTTCGGCAAAAAATAATTATAAAGGTATACAGGCTTCAAAAAAAATTAAAACACTTTGAAAAACAGTAACTGATTTTGAAACTTTTGCATGGGAACTCTCTGTGGATTTAGCAATCTGTGTTCCCGCAGTTCCTCCATGAACATGCGTCAAACCTGTCCACTGGACCACTATCAGCACGGGGGATGGAGTGGACCCTGGCTCACCGTAAATAATGCCGCGGACAAAACCTGGGTCCCCGTTTCTGAGACCCACATGATTGTATCCAGATCCTCTGATGGCAGGGGTTTACTCGCTTTGAAGGATTTCGACGATGCTTCTGATAATGTTGGATCATTGCCTCGCCCATCCTATTAGTCCTTGTGATTGGTTGTCGATATCTTTTCCGTGAGCTCTGGAGCCTGGACTCCAGCGGTATTTTTGGCCAAGGAACAAGTTAAAATAAAAACAACAGCCTTCAAGCCCTAAGTTCATGATAATAGAAAATCACCAAGGTTCTGCATGCTGGGCCTTTTGCCCTCTAGCTACCTCAATTTCACAATTCTACCGAAACATTATAGGTAACTAAGTGTTCTTAGATTGTTAATTATTCCTTTTCATTTTATTGTGTCCAGGAGACTTACCGCGGTAATTTCAAATCCATATACTTTGCTGTACCGCCCTACCTAGATAGCATTCTACCGGTACTTAACCAGCGCCAAACAGTCGTGACTCAGGGTAAATGTGTTGAAATTAGGTCTCCTCCATTAATGGAAAACAAGGATGTGAGAGTACGATCCACAGATCCCGTGGGGACGCGACCATCTGAAGAGATTATCAATGCTTCTGGACATGACAGGAGCTGGAGTGCAACTTCAACTTAATGAGTATGAGTATTGTGCTATCGAGATCACGAGGGAAACACATGGATTGCAATGGGTGGAAGCATTGCATGTTGTTGCAAGTTTGCCGTAAATATATATTCTGATATTAGTTGACATGAACCAGATCATGTAACATATGAATTGTAAGCTTTGTACTCCCCTTGCCTTCATCTAGCAAAACCGAAAATGCATTTCCTAGTGTAGAATGTTTTTAGTATTGCTGTCGCGATTTGTTACTGGATTTCTTCCACCTCCATTGAGGAATTGGCTTCCTCAATACCGTCAGGCTGGAGGTATGTCGCACAACCATTTGGACTCTGCTACGCCCAATTGACAGTTGAAGAATGCTATGATTCCATTCTATCATTGGCAAAGTACAACAGCCGGTCGTTTCGGCTGTCCAGTCAGCTGGTTCGCCGGCTATTGGAATTGCCTCGCATGGGTATTTGGCGCTGCCTCCATGTCCTCGGTTCTCGCCAACAAGATTGTATCGATGTACATGTTTTTCCATCCAGAGCTGAGTCACAGGGCTGCCGCTCCTTCATCAGCTATATCATTTGCACGTGGTTATGCCGCTGCATCGTTTTGCTCGCCAACGGAACCTTGCCTGCCATCAGCAATCTGCGTATGTCCCTCATTATCGGCAGCGTCCTCGTTTTGAGCCTGGTGTGAGCCAACATGCCACATGTAAAAAGGCGGTGATATACATCGAATAGCTTCGTTTGCCGGGGCTTGGAATATCAAACAGGTTATTCGAGCAATAGCTTCGTCTTAGACTAGGAGGAAATTCCCAAGTCTGTAACTCTCTGTAACTCCGAACCATCCTCATAAAACCCAATATTTTTTTCCTAGCCCAAATGTCCGTCGGATTCGTCGCTGCGATAACCTACCTGCTCGCCATTCTCTATGCCATTTATGACCCCTCCCTCGTTCCCGAACACAAATTCTCCTTTCCCCTCGCTAAGTACTATTGACAAGCCAGAAGTCACACCACGGAGATGCAATCAGCCTTCTCATTGTCGTGTGTCTCCTCCCCCCACCCCAAATACCTTGCATCGGCTGCTACATCACGGCCGGCCGCACTTTCTGGACCCTGGCCCACGACAATACCACGCCATTCAGCCGCACCTTTCACAACACCTTCAATGCCACGGTAACCTGCGGTTGCCTCATAACAAACTTAGGCTGCATCTGTGTCGGCTCAACGACCGCATTCAGCACGCTGGTCGGCTCGTTCGTTCATTTCTCGTCGCTATCATACATTACCGCAATTCTACCACACCTTCCTAGTGGGCGATCTGGGATCCGACTGGGTTATTTTCTTCATGTGCGGCTGGATGCGAATCGTGAATGCGCTTGCGTGTTTGTATAGGTGGCATTCATTGGTGGATTCTCCCTCCCGTTTGCGCTGCCAGATAATGTGAAGGATATGAATGACACTTCATTAAAATACTGGAGTGTTGACTGTCGTTGTTGTGATACGATAAGCGTGTAGACGAAAATATCATATTGGGCCTAATGAAGTGTGGTTTGGTGAGGTGATGGTGACTTTGGATGCACTCTGATTTCCTTTTATTCTTCTCAATGGGTAAATAATCACTCTCATCATATCATTAAGAGAGGGATGCCTTTTGTCCATTCAGCCAGGTTTATCGTCGTGGCCGGAGCGCGGAAGACTTTATCAGTTTTTGCACGCACATATATGCATAGATGTAAATTGTCTCTCGTCCTCGGAGACCGTATGTGTAGTTCTGTGGATGTATTAAAATGGCTCAAATAGCCGTGTTAAATAAAATCGAATTTTGTGTCCAATTTGTTGTTTTTGTTAGACATTCTATCTCTGCCCTCGGCGGATTGAATATATAGAGATATAGAGACGTATATATATATATATATATATAAAATGCAGGCTTTTCACACCATGAGCAATTCAGGTAATTCCGTCACGTGATCTATCTTCCACCATAACTAACTAGTTACAGAGTAGTTAACTAATTTAACCAGTTAGTCGTGCTTAGCAACCTTCTGCAATCAACCAAACTTGCCATTCTGTCACAATCCTTAGGTACCAACTGAGAACTACGTACATACCATGCAGCAAGGACGCCGTTCTGGCAAATCATTTCCTGGTTTCCACTAGGCTGATATTTAGTTAAAAGGGAACAAACATTATCACCATTTCAGCGTGGACTGAGCACAGCGGCTTACTCGCAGTCGAACTGGTGACTTTTGAGAGAAGATGGAGACAGTCAGTTAACTAGTCTAACAACGTCATTTCCTTCTTCCAAGCATCCATCAGGGAAGATCATGAGACGCAAGACAGACAGTCATCAGATTCCCCGGCAAATCCAATGATAATTTTTCAATGTGAAATTGAGGTCGGTCTCCGTACTTCCACCGGCAGGTTTCAATAATCCGTCCTTGAGCACACGTTGGTGAAAGAATCAGTTATCTTTGTCCCGTAGTTCTATTCAATACAGACTCTAGCAGCTCTGACATTTACAATTTTCGGAGCGTCATAGGCAGAAGGGGACACAGGAGGGAAGAGAGAGAAAAAAGAAAAGAAGAAAGAAGAAAAAAAGGACAAAGTTGTAGAAAAGATATTTTCAAGCAGCGCTGAGGCTCTGAGCATACGTCTTCCAAAGCACTGGTGACAGCACCTTGATGGTCATATGTAAAAATACCAGGCCGCTCATAGTGTTTAGCAGAGTCCCAGAGGACCAAAGACGGTCAATTACATCAAGCATTCTGGGAGGCGACATCAAAGACTAAACTGGCAACCAACGAAGGATTTTCACCCGATGGGATACCGGTGCATTTTACGCCGGACAGTAGTTTTTCTGTGCCATGTTTTGGTTAGATACCCGCCCAATTCAGGTGAGTATTTGCGACCGCTCCAAGCTAATATCTATATGATATGGATGTGATTGGAGATGGATGCGAGTCGCAAGCCAAGAGGCAGCATCAAAAGCTTGATTTCGTCTAACCAGTCGTTGTTAGTTATTGGGCATTTTCACTGCGAACGAGGGAGATATCCTTGGTGCCGCTGAGTTAAATCCAGAACAACCTCAGCATCTTCCGAGCCAATCAATAGTTGCTCTCCCCCAAGTAACCAACTATGTGACAACTTAACACATCACTGATCGATGGACAATTATCATATGAATATCGAGCTGGACACCGTATTGGCCAGTCAAGGAGGTGTTCTTCCAGGACGCATGGTCAGCCTAAAACCCCCAATACCGAATGTGTCCGCTACCCAATTACTTCTGTTCAATTTAGTTTTCCGTGATTTGGAGTTAACAAATGCCGCAGATACCTTGCTTCCAACGATGCACTATTTAACTAGTGGTGGTATTGGACGTAGCCGATCTGTCAGTCGCCTAATTATAAAACGCACTCACGATGTCCCCCTTTGGTGTACGGTTGGATGGACGGCCATACATCCCTGCCATCTTATCTGCTTTAAAATGCTAAAATGAGCTGCTTTCCCTCTGTTCTGGCATCCACGCTTTTCCTTGACAGCCATGGGAAAATAATGGTGCGAATCCATCCCGAAAACTCGTTGTTCGGCATAATCCGTGCGTGATTCCCGTCCCCTTCAGTCCTCGCCAATTATGGAAACACAGCACATTGATCGCCAGTAGCAAGGGGTTTCGTCCGCGTCGTGGGTTCTTTTTTTAAATATCACCTCCTCCCTCACAATCGTATTTGCCGTTGTTCGTCTTGTAGGTATCCCCATAATTGAACTAGAAAACACCACACTGCTAGTTTTTTCTATTAACACAACCAAGAGCCAAAAGGAATACGGAAGCACAATATAAGTTCAATAAAAAAAAAACCTGAAAAGAAAGAGAGAAACTATACAGGGTGTGGGTAGATTGCATTGGGGGGGAAAAAATCGGCACAGCGCTTGGGCATCTGTATTACTACCGTCGGGTAGTGAGCATCAACTTTTGGAGAATCACCACCACCGAGATGAAGGATACCTGCGTGACATACACACATACATAATGAGACCAATCGCCCTCCTTCTTCCGTCTCTTATTCTTCGATAATTCACCCTTTGTGCTACCGCTTTGCCATTCGCACAGTCTCTATTGTCTAGAATCGACACTTCGGATGCTGCGCCTGGCCAGGATGTCTTCGCACTCACTTCACCATATGAACTAGAGTCCCTCAGAACGGAAGGGAGGCGACTCAGCAGCCTCTCCACACAAGAGAGCCTCGATACCCGCCGGCTCTAACAGCTCAGAGATCTAAATTTCAGCCGCATTTCCCTCAAGGAGCTGCGCAAAATAGTGCTTTGGCTTCAAGAAATTTGGCCCTCGGCTGAGGGTCTGATTTAATGCCTGCAGGAGTTGGCTGATATCGAAGCTCCCAAGACCAATCTATTATCATCGCTATCGACACAGTCTTCGACACTTCCCGAGAAACCACTACCGTCCACCTTTCTTATGCAACTGGAGGACAAAATCGAGACCTCCCTATTGACATCTGGCCCCAGAATTAGAAATCACGCCTCTGAAGCGCTGAGGCAAGATTTTCTGACATTAGACATTCAATCACAGCTGGAGCCAGCATTCATTTCAAATAATCTACAAGGCATCGTCCCACGCGCAGCATCATCTGCAACTACCACTAACTATATAACACTGGCACCCTCATTGCTGTCAGGAACAACAACTGCTGCTGTCACTGACGTTTTCATTTCATGGACCATAGATGGTATTGACGCCCTCATTCGCTCTACATCCGGCCGTCCCATATGGACCACATTTCTCATCATCACGACGCTAGCAATTCTTTTCCTTATCTCAGTTCTAATTGTGGAGGTGACGGATTTCCTCTGGACCTTTGCCAGATCGGGATTGTCGTGGCTGCGGTCAAATTGCTCGTGGTGGAGGCGGCAGCGGGCTATTCGTCTCTCTGGGGCGGAGAGACGACTTATTGCAGTCCCTACAGCAGACAGTGATGAAAAGAGAGTTGGAAAGAGTTATGTTGAGTTTTGCGAAGTCGAGCTGTGCTAATTACCTTTCTCTCTTACGATGTCTATTTCCTTCTTTCTGCATGGGGAGTTTATTGGAGATGCATATAACCAAGTAGCGTGTTGATTTGTTTCCCTTCCTGTGTCATTTTTGCCATATATCCAAATCTTCTGCGGATGAGTGTTTGAAACCCCACTCTCGCGAAATTTGGATCGACGGTAGTTACTTGGTCTCAAATATCTCGGTTTCACTGCAATTTACCAGCCCATCTTGAAAATATAACGACATCTTCCATCATGAACCCAAAACTAGATAACTATCCTGCAACACGGAGCTAATTTACTCATTACTATCGAATCAAGCTTTCATCACAGTTGAAACGATTTATCGATTTCTACGTTTTCTTCCATCGGATCCATGGGTTCGGTTCGAGATAAGCTAATAAAACACCGTACTATGAAGTTATGACGCGCCCTGGCAATCCGCCAAGACATCCATCTATCGATCAAGTCGCAGGCCTATTTTAAGCCCCACATTCAATGTATCATGTCGCACAGTCTCATGAGAGATTAATTAATCTCCCTTATTGTTCTTTAAAGACGCTGTCCTAGCATATGTAGCGAGGGAGCCTGAAACTAGCTTGTTCACCGCATATGTCAAACTTATTTTCGGACAACTTTTCAGTTAAAACCATATCACCGGGGGTTTCTCAAGTCCCCTGCTTGGCAAGTTTGGCAGTGAAGAGGGAGAGTTTTGTTATTTCGCGGAAAACATCAGAAAGTTCAGAGAGGTATATAGTGGGTTGGGTATTTATTGAACGTATGGCAGTTATATTGAATGCCTTCTCCAATCGCCTGATCATGTGTGGAATATATAAATACGGAAGAGGCTTCCATCTAATATAAGAATTTCATACCATCTAACCAGTTAATATATAAAAAGAGGCAGGCTGATGTAAACAGGCTGGAGTGAATAGTTTAGCAAAATTGTTGATGAACATGCACGGTTAGTTACCCGTTTTCAAAGGTCAGAAAATCCATAGCAAAGCCCCAAAGGGTTTTAAGTTAGCTTAGTCAAGTTAATAGCCGAAATTAGTTACGTAACTAATGCTTCAACCGGACCAACAGCCCGATCTCGGCTATTCCTCCCGGCAATGAGCAGGAATGCCGAATCCGACTCCCCCCGGGATTGAACGTCTACCACACAATCGCAATATTATCGCCGACTTTTTATATCTCCGCATTTGTCTGTCATACCACAAAGAGTCCCCGCCCATGATGGACAGGAATTTGTTGCATTTTTAATTTAAATTCTTGATTAAGTTTCTTCGACGTATTTGTCTTTGCATTTTCTCATCTCCCAGTCCTTATCTCCTCTTCCACCATGACTAAATATCAGCTTCCCTTTGAGGTATGTCAATTTTCACCTTCAGAAGCTGGGTTCTCCGCACTGTGGATGACCCAGGGAAAAAGAGTTATTGTTGTTAATCTCCTGTTGGATAGCTTGACGACCCAAGCCTTCTGCACTTTGACTCCTTTGTCAACAATGAGTGGGTTACGGCAGATGACGGAAGTCGATTTGAAGTCATAGGTAAAACCTGTATAAATCTTCCAAGAAATAGGGAAAGCCATAAAAGTACTAATTCCATGGTTGATTCACAGACCCCGGCACCGCGATTCCGTGGGCCAGCTGCCCCAATAACTCCGCTGCCGAAGTTCCCAGGACGGTTGAAGCCGCCCATACTGCCTTCGAACAATTTAAGAAAGTGAACCCTCGCACCAGAGCGCAGCTCTTGATGAAATGGGATACCCTGATCCGCGAGGCCCGCTCCGATCTCGCCAAAATCCTCACCCACGAAACTGGGAAGCCCATCGCGGAGGCTTGCGCTGAAATCGACTATGCCCTAGGCTTCACATGGTGGTTTGCCGGGGAGGCAGAGAGGATTCAGGGTGGAATTTCCATAGCCTCGGCTCCAAACAGGCGCGTGTTCACATTTAAACAACCAATTGGCGTCGCAGCGGCGCTGGTGCCATGGAACTTCCCCATTGCTATGGTGTTGCGAAAAGCTGGCGCTGCATTTGCCGCCGGATGCACGATGATCGTCAAGCCCAGCCCCGAAACACCTATTACCGCTCTCGTCCTTGCCCATCTCGCTCAAAAGGCTGGATTTCCTCCCGGCGTCTTCAATGTTCTTACAACCGATCTGAATAACACCCCGCCTCTCAGCGAAGCCCTCTGCAAACACCCACTCGTCAAGAAAGTGACCTTCACTGGCTCCACACGTGTCGGCAAATTGATTGCCGCTCACTGCGCCTCAGGCCTCAAAAAACTTACCCTTGAACTGGGCGGCAACTGCCCTTTTATCGTCTTCGATGATGCCAACCTTGAGCAAGCGATCAGCCAACTTATGACTCTCAAATGGCGACATGCCGGCCAAGCCTGCATCACGGCCAATCGCATCTACGTGCAAAGCGGCGTGTACGAGAAATTCACCGACATGCTCAAGGATCGCACCAGCTCCCTTGTTGTCGGTCACGGTGCCAAGCAAGCCACTACCATGGGCCCTGTTACCACACAGCGCAGTCTTGTTAAGGCCATCACCCAGGTGGAGGATGCGGTGAAGTTAGGTGGGAAGGTCATTTTAGGCGGCTCACGGAACACGAGCTGTGGGGGTGGATATTTCTTTGAGCCGACGATTATCGCTGATATGAAGTCAGAAATGTTAATATCGCGCGAAGAGACGTTTGCGCCAATTGCAGCACTGTACAAGTTTGAGACGGAGGAGGAGGTGGTGAAGTGGGCGAATGACACGAGTATGGGTTTGGCTAGTTATGCATTCACGAAGAATGTGGATCGTATGTGGAGGATGTTGGAGAATTTGGAGGCGGGGATGATTGGGATGAATACTGGTATGCTCACGGTCCTTGTTTTCTCCTTCTGTCCTGGTAGAATCCTGATAGAATCTCTGCCGTTCCCTTGCTGACTTACTGGGAAATATAGGCAATTCATCCGCCGCTGAGTCACCGTTTGGTGGTATTAAGGAGTCCGGATATGGAAAAGAGAGTGGTAAAGACGTCGCTGTTGCTGAGTATCTGATTACCAAGACTGGGACCCTTACTCTAGAAGGGCAATATTAAGTTGGGCAAACCAGGGCGATTGAATTCGACTTAATCCCTTTGCGGAGAGTTTTGTTGATGACTGTTAGGTGAAGATATCTCCATAATGATATCTCGATAATGATCAAATACGCTCTCTAATTCACGACAATATGATAATGAACCAAGCCTCATTTGGTGATTGAGTAAGTATTCAAATTCCTATCTACTTATAAAAACATCTTCTCTGGCCATCTTCATCTGCATCTTTTTGCCAGAGAAAGTAAAGTGATAGGGAAACACGATCCGTCAAATCCCTGAACAGGAGACAAATCAACTTTTCAGAGCAATCACTTGCGCAAGAAATCCATGCAATTTCATTCGATCATTTGCGGAGCACAGAGTAGATAACTGAGTGCACAGCCTATCATTATTATATTGCTGGCACCTCCCGACTTGGGTTCCCCTGAAAATTAAGGTTAAGCTCTACCCCGTTCTTACAATGGCTTATATTTAGGTTGACCAATAATAAGCTGCTTACTGAAACCTTAAATTAGTTTGTTTACCCCCGAAACCGCGGTGCAAAATTCTAAACCAGTGCAATCAATGGCTTTAACATTTTAGATAATATTCTCCGACGATTTCGAGTTATTTAAAACACAACCAGTAACCCCTAAGTCAAAGCAGTCCATCATTGCTACCTCTGTAACATATCCTTGATCAAACTGCTGTAAAATAAAAAAAGTTGAGCAATAGGGAAACAACAAAAGAGCAAGGTCAAGGTATACATACAGCCCTTGCTGGTTCTCCTCTTATATCAGACGGGCAACGCTATCCGGAATAATTCTCAGCTTGTGTGGCGTAATGATGCCTGATGAAATTGACCAAAGGAATTCGGAAAACTAGCCTGGATGAACCGGGTTTTTCTGTTTTTAACGACATATGTTTCCAATTAATTCACCCATTGCCTTCAGAGCTCCAGACAAAAAGAAAATTGACATGGCAACCTTTATTTGCAATTATTCTTTCTGATTATGCTGTCTTACTTGTGATTTCTCCGTATAGCAGCCTATAAGAGATTCTGCGGTTAGGACATGCTATCAAACGGTCCAGAGGCAGACTTTTTCAACACTGGTATAGTTTTGCTATGCTAACGAATGGGTAAATATGACATATGATCCCGGGGGGGGTATACGGTACATATCTCATCGGCGCCTTTATGGATACTATGGATAACTAAACATCTATAAGTAGAAGTGGAGCAACAGCTTAACTAACCAGTTAGGACGAAGCACTACCAGCGGAAAAGGTTGGGTAAAAGCCTAAAAGTTCAATACATACATCTCCAGGACCAACCATTCGACAGGTCTAGTTTTACATAATAACTTACTTTTTGAATGTAACTAGCTAGGTGTCAGGACATGCCCAGTAGTGGATTAGTATGGGTTTACAGTCAGCCTGTTTTACATGTTTATTTAAATATAGGAACGATACTTTCCGGGGGCATAAGTTCTCGGATCATATGGCGATCGCGCAGCCTTCAAGTATGTTCACACCAGGTTTTGCAACCCACCGCGGCCATAAGGACGTGGTCTCTCATTCAGTTATGAGGCCCCGAGAGACTTGATACGTGATCATGATATCCCAGCTCAATCATGGCCCTCTGCTCAGGAACGGCGGCTGAGACAAAATGCGACTCCGATGTTTGGACATTGGACATTATTCAAGGAAGTTACACTCCTAGGTGATACGGAGCTAGGTGATCCCTGTCACTGCTGATGCCGACCGGAAACGGTAATTGCGTAGTTATGTCGCCGTTGCAGTGAGAAAGTCGGGGCGCAGGCAGTCTATATTTGCGGCTAGAATTCGTTTATATATATCAATTCTCCTCCTTCATCTTCATCATCATTCTCCTAGAATCCCCTAAACAGCACAACAAGATCGTCTCTATCATTACCCACCTAGACCCTCTCCCCTAGAAGACAAACTCCCTTGGTTAACTCAGTTCTATCCTCCAGGGCTATGGCGGACATATCAGCTTTGCAGCGCTTCATTTACACCCATCCTATCATTGACAATCATGCCCACAATTTGCTTAAAGCGGACTTCGCTGTCGACTATGACAGATATCCTTTTGAGTATATAACTTCAGAAGCTCAGGGCGAATCCCTTGTAAAACATTCTTCCAAGTCCCTCGCTCATATCAGAGCCATCAACCAGCTATCGGAGCTATTCGGATGTGCTCCTGAATTGAGTGCCATCAAATCTGCCCGGGACAAGGAAATTGAGGGCGATTATGCTGGCCTGGTTAAAAGGTGTCTCACGGGAACCCATACGCTATTGATAGATGATGGCTTAACTGCAGACGACGTAGAGCCGTACTCGTGGCACGACGGATTCACGAATGCACCATCGATGAGAATTGTTCGCATTGAGACTCTTGCTGTCACTCTCTTCCGTGACCTCCTACGGGTGGAGCATAAACCACTGGAATCTTGGCTCACAGCAGGGCAGGAGGTCATTCAAGATTTGTGGAACGACTTCCGATATAGCTTTAGCACAGCAATCGAGAATGCACTGGATGATCCTGAAGTTGTGGGTTTTAAATCTGTTATCTGCTACAGAACCGGACTCAAGATCCAAATCCACTCTGCAGCGGAGTTGTTCACCAGCTTTCAAACGTACTTTCGAACATTTATGGAAAGCGCGGAAGCCAGGATCGAGGATAAGCCATTTAACGATTATCTTGTCATATCTGTTCTTGAAAAGCTCTCCCAGCGGCGAACTGAGTTGGGCACCTCAAAACCAATTCAATTCCACACTGGACTAGGAGACTCCGATATAATTTTGCTACGTTCAAATCCAGCACACCTACAAAAACTGATGGAAGACTATCCCAATGTTGATTTTGTTCTGTTGCATTCATCATATCCATACACTCGAGAGGCAGGATACCTGGCTAGCGTGTATGCGAACGTGTATCTAGATATCGGCGAGGTCTTCCCCATGCTCAGTCGGGATGCTCAAATTTCGATCCTTCGGCAGAGCCTTGAGTTGGTCCCGAGCACCAAGCTCCTTTGGAGCACAGATGGTCATTACCATCCCGAAAATTTCTGGCTTGCGAACAAGCAATTCCGACAAGCTCTAGACACTGTAAGAAAAATACCATCTATTGATTTCTCAATCAACTAATAGAGTGCCACTAGGTTTTTACAGAATATGTCAACGAAGGTGATTACACCTATGCCCAAGCTATCGAGGCTGCTCGGGATATAATGTTTTCCAATTCAAATTGTCTTTACAACCTGAACCAGTCCCCTGAGATTTCCGGAGTCAATTTTGTCGAAACTCCCATATCAACCACAGTGTTGCTTCAATCAGCGGGGGTGAGTACGCCAGAAGAAACACTTAAAAAGTTTCTACATAAGAATTCGTCTGTGGACTTTATATGGATGCAATGGATTGATTATACTGCCACCCTCCATGTCCGCATATTCCCCGTTCGGGAGTTTAATAAGATTGTCAGTTCAAAGCGAACAGTAGGTATTACTCTAGCAGTGTTGAACATGCTACAAACCGATCAATTGGTTCCCCCTGACGCGAGGCCTGTTGGCCAATTCATCTTAACTCCAGACCTCACTACCTTATGCCGAAACATCGGACTATCCTCAAACAGTGCAACGGTTATGACATTCTGGAGGAATGAAGCAGGTGGAGAATTGGAAGGATGTCCTCGAACCATTCTCCAAAGCATTGCGAACAAATGTCAAACAGAATATGGCGTTGAGACGCTTATAGGTTTTGAAATAGAAGTGGTTTTCCTGAAACCCACAACCAAGGAAGACGGCTCAACCACCTACTCCCCTTGGCTTACCAATCACTCATGGTCCGGCATGACTTCAGAAACGGTTCAGGCTCTGCCATTGCTTGAAAAAATTGCCGATAAACTGAAAGATATAGATATCCGGCTTGAGCAGTTCCATGCCGAGTCATGTCCAAGCCAATTTGAGTTTATTCTACCACCATCAACCCCCCTTGCTGCTACTGACACACTCATCAAAGCTCGCCAAACAATCACCAACATAGCTGCACAATATGGGTTACGAGCCACGTTATATCCTCGCCCTTACCCCTTCGCAGCAGGCACTGCAGCTCATACGCATATCTCGATTACCCCGTCAATTAAAGAAGATTCCTTTCTAGCAGGAATGCTTCTGCATCTCCCATCGGTTCTAGCCTTTACTTTTCCCCAAGAGGCAAGCTACGCGAGAGTTGCAGAGGGGGTCTGGGCTGGTGGTGTATGGCTAGCCTGGGGCTATCAGAATCGGGAAACACCCATTCGAAAAATTTCTCCGGGTCATTGGGAGGTCAAGTCCATGGATGGATTGGCGAATCCTTATCTGGGGGTTGCAGCAATTATTTGTGCAGGATATCTAGGTTTGAAAGCCGGGTTGCCACTGGAAATCAAGGGCTGTGATGGTAATATTTCCCTCCCCTCCCATATACAGTCATAACCGGCATCCCATTCCCCTTTGAACTTGTAGCCCATTTTTTCATTACCCGCCCTCCTCATCATTCTGCGTTCATCTATTAACCCCGTAACTCTTTAATATTTTAGTTGACACCGCAATCTTGTCTCCATCCGAACGCGAGGCATTATCAATTACCACCCGTCTACCATCGTCGCTAGATGAGACTCTTGAGGCCCTCGAAGGAAATATCGATCTTCAAAATCTCATGGGTAGAGACTTTGTGAGGAGGTATATTGGGGTCCGGCGAGGGGAACAGCAAATGTTGAACAAGATGAGCGAGGATGAGAGGAGAAATTGGCTAATCGAGAGGTATTGATTATTAAGTCACAAAATGACGAAATAATCTTGGCTGTTTTCTTTTCCTCTTTTGTAAAGTGTTTCTAACTAGGTCATGATGCTTTTATTTGATATTATTATCCTTGAACCTGTCTCCTACAAGAAGATTATATCCCAGCATTCTTTCAATGCTTGTTTGTTATTAATAGTGTGTTTGAGAAAATTGAACTTCTGATAAAATCATATTTAAGTTGCATTCAATATATCTCATCCTAAAGAGATGTTAAAATAATATGAATTCTTAATAACAGTAGTATGTTTCATAGTAGAGACTGAAAATGTATTTTTAAATATTAAAATAAAAATATATATAAGTTAAAATAAAGAAGATGTTATATATATATATATATATATATATTATCTATTTATTTATATTTTTTTCTTTAATAAATAAAATTATAAAATAAATAAATAATTAACTATAAAAAATAATTATATATAATAAAATAATATAATTTATCACTGTAATAAATTAATACCAATCTTTCATAATTAAAACTTTTAATTTAAATTATTATTCTTCTATTATATAAAACTCTGTGCCCTTCTTTATAATGTTATATAAAATATAATAAATTTACTACTATTTATTTAAGTTAACAATAAAAAATTAAAAAGTGAGATTTTTTACTTATATATTTAGATGGTTCAAGAAATGAATAAAAGTATCTAAAAGCTAGTATAGTTTTAAAATATATTAAATTAAATTCTAAGTATAAGCTATTCTTGAAATTAGTAATAAAATATAAAATATATAATATTGAATTACTTATAATTCAAAAGATTTTTATAATAAGAAGAAAAATTATCATTTAAGAATTTAATATTAAAAGTATTTAAATATTTTCAAATACTTAAATAACTTTAAAAAAATTTCAAAAATATAAAATTTAAAATGATCAAATTAATTTCAAACTGATTAAAAAATAGTAAAAAAAATTAAACTAAAAGATAAGAAAATTAAATTTTATTTATTTTGAATACACGCTTTTATAGATATTTTTAAAAAATGGAAAAGTAGATTTAGCGACTAAAAATAATATTAAAATTTTAAAAAAATAACTCAAAAAACTATTTCTTAATCTTATAATAAAAGAAAAATTAAAAATTATATCTTAATAAATAATTAAAGCTTTAAAATAAAGAAAAGAAAAATAGTCAATATGTAAAATATAAAATAAAATTAAATTAAAATTTCTTATCAATAAAATATAAAAAAAAAAATTTTATAATATAATTAAAGCTTAGATATAGAAAAAAAAATTAAAAAATTTAAAAAATTTAAATAGATATAAGTTTTATAATTTAGTTAAAAATTTAAAATATATTTCAATAAACTACTTATTAAATAATAATATTTAAAAGAAATTAAAAGAAAAATATTTCATTAATTAGTTAAATATATTTTTTCTTTATAAAAAAATAAAAATTAACTTTAAAAAATAAATTTCAAATTTAAATAAGATATATATTTAAAGTCTATAATTAGTAATATTAAAGTTTAATATTATATCACTCTTTATGAATTTAATTTATTTATCAATTATTTTTCTAAAATATTTTTTATTTTAGTTATAGTTTATTTACTTGTTAATATTTTCTCTAAAATATTTTTTTTCTTTGTTTTTAATTTTAATTTTAATTTTTTTATTGATAATTTATTAAATTAATATTGTATAATTTTATTATCTACTATAAGATCTATTAAATATTTTATCACTTTAAGATATTATATTATAATTATATATTATAAACTATATTTATTAATTAAATTTATAAAATAGTTAAATTCTAGTCTAATTAAATAGATATTATAGTCTTTGACTGTATATATTTATAATAAATAATAATAATAATAATTTAAATTAATACTACTATAAGTAAATATTAAGTAAGTAAATTTATTAAATATTATAAAATATAAAAAATAGATTCTTATATAAATATAACTATAATTAAGCTTTGTATAAAGATTTTAAAATTATATTAAAGTAATTTTAATAATTAAAGAATATTATAATAAAAGTTATAATATTGTAAATAAAAATATTTATAATTTTAATAATAAAACTGACTTTTAAGAAAATATTATATTAATAGTTAAAATAATAATTAAGTTTAAAAAGTATAATAAATTAATATTATTATAGTTAAAAAATTAAAAATAAATAATCATTATTGAATAAATTAATTCAATTAATTAAATTTATCTATATTAATTATACTAAACATTATAAATAACTAGATCTTATAATATAAGAAGCTATTAATTGACTAAATAGTTAAAATTAATAAAAATAACTAAATTATAAATAAACTAAATATAATTTATTTTAAAAAGATCTGTGAGAAGTATATTAAAGTTTATATAATTATTTAATATAAACTATTAATTAAGAATAAATATAATAGTCATAGTATTTCTGAATTTGATCAGTATTATATGACAGTCTATTATATATTTTTTATATATCAGCTTCTTCGTCTCATTGTGATGGTGTTGGCTATGGCGCTGGCTTCTGCGCTATGACGGCGTATGGCTACTGGCTACTGGCCGAAAAGGGTACTAGCAACGGCCTAGCGCAAGCAACTACCCTGTAAACAAATACCCCACAGAAACTGCCTAGCAACAGCAAGCAACCGCAGTGGAAAAGGGTGTATAAACAGAGGCCTCCCCAGACCCCCATTTCGTAGAGCATCTTAGTATTTCGTTGAAGTTGCTTACCTGGCTGGCAATCAAACACCCGTTTTACCTGCACCTAGATTGAAGCCGTGATACTCATCTACTTGAGAAGAGCTACTTTGAACTTATAAAGTAAATATATAAATAAAGAATTAAGAATTATATAAAATTATAGATAAATTATATTGATAAGAAAGATTTTCTTAAATTTTATTCTATAATCAAAAAAAGATATTCAAAGAATTTACTATTAAAAATAAATTTAAAATATAAATATCATATTATATAATATAGATGAAGTTCTTATATAAATATATACTCAGCTTTATATCTCTACTCTCTCAGATAATTCTTATGAATCAGAGTTATTTTATACTCTTGAAAATGTTTAAGAATAAGACAGTTAGAATGTCAAAGTAGAAAAATCAAACAGTGTACAAATCTGCTATTCAGTTCAATTGAACAAGCACTTAATCAGCTGAAAAATAAATATCAGCTGACTAATTATTCATAGTACTACTATTATAGCAAGAAAAATAAAAAGCTAAGAGCTGCAGTTGAAAACAAAAATCATAGAAAGAAGCAAGTTCATACATTTATAACTCAGAGTGAAGCTCTAACAGCTGAGAAAGAAATAGCTAAAAATCAAGCAATTGATCAAGCTGTATAGAAGAGAGTAGAGAATTTAAATCTGCTGTTTAAAAAATGAGTTTCATCATACTGCTGCAGTGTAACATAGTCATACTGCTAGAAGCTGTCAACAAATTTAAAAAAAATATATATATATTTAATATGGGAAATTCTAATTACTTGATTTCATGATTTATTAATTAAAATGAAAAGTGATATATTGAATAATGAGATGCATTTAGTGATGAATTATGTTAATAACTTTTTATTTTTATAAAGTTACTTTTATTTTTATTAGTACTGTGTATAATCAGCTGATATTCTTTAATTAGCTAAATAAAAACTTTAATTAATGAAATTTGTCAGTTATGAAAAATATCTAATTATATAATATTTGATCTTGCTGCTTTGCTGTTTAACTCTTCTTACTAACATCAATTACTCAGGTAACTAACTAAACTAGTTAACTAGTTAGTTACTGACAGCTGCTTAAATCGTAAGACCTGATGAAACTCTCTTAAGTATAATCATAGCAGACAAAGCTCAGTCTGTAGTATTAACAGTCTCACTTGCAGTTGCTCATTATCTATTCTTCAACTGTATGAAAGTTGACTTGCCTTCTCAGCACTGAAATTATAAGTAGCTAATTATACAAAGATGATGTGATATACCACCTGAATTAATATTACGGAGAAAATAATGCAGACTCTTAAGTTGATAAAAGACACAAACCCTTCTCGCGTAGATGCAAAATGAAACAATGCTATAAGAAAGAAAAAAATGCAGCAAAGAAAGGAGGATATCAATCTACAAGAGTAAATAGTATGGCTTAAGACATATATAGATTGTAGAAATTTGATCAGGAAATGAGGAAACCTCCGGAAACAAAACACCAGAACGGAGGACTTCCCATAAAACCATCAGGTTGAAATTCATACTGATGCTATAGTATCAAACATTAAAACTTCTCTATCAATCGTTTGCGGACCGTCCACATGCGAGCTCTCTTTCCGAATATATACATCGGAATCGAGGCGAGCATGCAGGCGATATGAATGCCACCCAATGCGACGAAAACATCGCGCGCTCCATCAGCTTTCAGCCATTGAACGAAGAACAACGAAAACACGAAACCGTGCAACACGTCTATGAGTTGAAAAGAGTTGAAAACCTGTTAGCAAGTGGTTTGATTTTGTGAAGGAATTTGTTTGATGCGTAGAAACTGTCGACTTACTTTTGCAAAAATTCAGCGTAACCAGAGCCTCGCCAGCGTATTGACGGTAGCTGTCGACGCAAAAGGTGATGGCAGTGGTACTTCCGACAGAGCATCCAAAGGAGAGTATGCCGAAGAAAACGGTGGGGATGATCCACCGGTCTTTTTCTTGAGCACTCCATCCAAAGCCCATGAGGCCCATAGCTGTCGTAATTGTAATTGGCACAGCCATTACAAGGCGAAACTCGGGCTCATACACCCCACCGTTTCGGCGTGTCATGAACCGGACGATAATATCCGAAACTTTGCCCGCAACTGCTGTCCCAAAGATGCCACCGACAAAGGGGGAAATATATACGAGGCCTGTTGCGAGCGCGGAGAAATTATAACTATCTTTATCTCGATAAATTTCTGCCACAGCTTCCGACAGGACGATCAGCCATCCAACGGAGAG